AGCCCCAATCCCTGTCCCAAAGCACAATAGAAGTAATATATTTTGTATTGTCTGTTATGAAAAACCGTTGAAAATGCTACAAAAAAGTATTCATAGAGGAGACAGTGTGAAGATTGTTCTATTTTGGCAAGAGCCATTAAGAGATTCTTTAGGATATCACTAACATGTTGTTAAAGGTTGAGTTATGAGCTTTCATGTATATATGAAATTATGTATATATGCATATATATTTCTTTCTATGATTTGTTGTCTACTATTTGAATCGCATCAAGTATGGTGTGGTATTTATGGAGAATGGGTAGGGATGTTTTGTGCAGCCCTGAATGTGGCCGTTTGGCCCAGGAACACGTTCACTTGCTCAGCCTGAGTGTGTGGGGAGCAATCCTGAGCATGGCTTCGGTTGAGTTCCTGAGGTTTTCAGCTGCTAGAGCTGGGTCCCTTGGGGCAGGGAGGGCTCTCACCCACCTCCCTCTGCAGGCCCCGAGTGAAACAGTCTGGTTTGGAGTCAGGTGGCATGGCTATGGGAGTGTCATGTTGCTCTCTTCTGGGAGAAAAAGCCGTGTTATCTGGATGATGGCTGGTGAGGAGATGGGCAGATGGCATTTCTGCTGTGTGTTTTGGGCTCCCCAGAGTAAAAACCCAGAGTGGTTTTTCTGGGTGAAATGGGAGTTCAATTTCTAGCTTTTTAAGGAATATTCATATTGTTTCAGAAAAAGGCGGGGCCAATCAGCATTTCCACCAACAATGAAGGAGAGTCCATTTCTCCCCACATCTACACCAGCATTGGTTGCTTTTGTTCTTTTGAATGTGTGCCAGTCTCTGTGATGCGAGATTATATCTCATCGTTTCTTGATTTGTGTCTCCCTGATGATTAGTGATATAGAGCAGTTTTTCATGTGCCGTTTGTCCATTTGAGTTTCTTCTTTGGGAAAGTTTCTGTTCATTTTTTTTCTACCAATTTTCGATGGGGGGGGGGATGTCTTTTATTGTAAATCCCTACAGTCCATTATAAAGGCCCTCCCGTTGATCGTCAATTTGCTGGAGCGGGCCCAGTAACATCTCCATTGGAGACTTTGTTGTTACTGTGTCTGGCATATCGAATACTCTCGGTAGCTTGCCGGGCTCTCCGAGAGGGGCGGAGGAATCGAACTCGGGTCGGCCATGTTGGCCGCTTGTAAGGCGAACGCCCTACCCGCTGTGCTATCGCTCCAGCCCATTATATACTTTGATATTAAGTATTTATTAGATGGGTAGCACGGTACCACTGTCCGCCTGTTGTTCATTGATTTGGTCAAGCGGGCACCAGTAACGTCTCCATTGTGAGACTTCTTGTTACTGTTTTTGGCATATCGAATACGTCACGGGGAGCTTGCTAGGCTTTGCTGTGTGGGTGGGATTCTCTTGGTAGCTTGCCACGCTCTCCGAGAGGGGCAGAGGAATCAAACCCAGGTTGGCCCCGTGCAAGGCAAAATTTTCCATTCCCTGGGTTGTCTTTGTATCTTTGGCACCATTTCAATTGAGGTACACAAACGTCTTAGTTTAATACTGTCCCATTTGTTTATCTTTGCTTTCACTTACTTGGTCAATGGTGTTTTATGTTTGAAAGTGCCTTTAGCTTCAAGGTCATGAAGGGTTTTGCTACAGTTTTGTCCATGTGTCTAATGGATTCAAGTATGATGTTGAGGTCTTTAATCCATTTTAAACTGACTTTTGTGCCTGGTGTTAGATAAAGGTCTGAGTTCATTATTTTTTTTAACATGTAGATGTCCAGTTTACCCAGCTTGGAACGCCTTCAAGAACATCGAAGAAATAGCTAAGAGGACGAAGAACCTCCGGCTCCGGGCACATCTCTTTGATTCCACTGTTCTTCCTGCATTAACATATGCCTCAGAGACCTGGGCCCTACGCAAACAGATTAGAACGCTATTCAGGTCTCCCAAAGAAGAATAGAAAGAGCTATGCTTGGAATATCACGTTTCACTCAAATGAGAGAAAAAATCCGGAGTTCCGACATCCGTAGACGATCAAGAATCAGGGATGCTGTCTCATTTGCCAAGGTGTCAAAAATCAGATGGGCTGGTCACGTAATGAGATTTAAAGACGACCGCTGTACTAGAGCTGTTACTGACTGGATTCCACGGGATGTCAAAAGACCGCGTGGCTGCCCACCTTCCAGATGGTCAGACTTCTTCGTGAGGATCATGAGCGATCGGTTTGAGGCTCTTCATGTTCCCAGAGTGAACAGATGCCATTGGGCTACACTAGCACGCGACAGGGACAAATGGAGACGTTGCTGGCGCCCGCTTGAGGAAATTGACGACTAACGGGAAGTTAAGTGATTAAGTGATTTAAGTGATCTTGCTGCATTCAGTATCTTATCTCTGTCTATGGTGTTCGTCATTCAGATTAGGAGATGTCTTGGAGTCTTTTGTTAGGGTCCCTTTTAGCTGGTACACTTTGGGATTCTTGGATCTGGATGCCTGTGTTCACCAACTATGAGAACTGTTCAGAAACAATGTCTGTCACTGTTACTACTTCATTGGGGTTGTCTCCCTGTCTCTCTGGAACTCTGAGGATTCTTACGTTCTTTCTCCTAATTCATTCTACAGTTCTCTGTTCTTCCTTTGAGATATTTTGAGGATTTTCATTGTAATTGTTGTCTGTAGGTTTTCTGCATCTCACTCTCAAGCTTACTAATTTTGTATTTGCCTGTTGTTTCACTGATGTTGAGATGACCCACTGAGTTTTTCATTTCAACCACTGAATTTTTTATCAATGCCCTTTATGTTCTAGTGTCAACTAGGTTGCCCAGAGTGTAAACTAATTGTTTTATTTTTATTTTTCCTTATTGAATATATAAGCAGGTCATCTGAAAGCATCTGATGATGCGACCACACAAGTCATGTCTTTCTGAAGTATTGCTGTTGCACAAATGGTTCTAATTTCAGGAGCAGAGGTGACAGGAGGAGGAAGGTGAGGGTGAGTTCTCTACATTGCTGGGAGAGAGACAGCAGGAGGGAAGCCAAGGGGCCAGGCATAAAGGAACTTCAGCCACTGACTCTGATTCTACTGCTAACTTCACTGTTCACTATGGGAATGATTCTCTATTACTAAGTGAGCTACTCATTCGCATCAAATAATAGATATTTTAGCTTACTACCTAGTACTGATATTTTCTGTTTAATGTTGGTGGTTTCTTTTCAGGCCAGTTAAGTTAATAAAGGTATGCACTTAATGGTAACCCTTCCCTTACCTGCATGCACACAGGTTCACACACAAACATGTAGGAATTGAGATGCTGCGACTTACAGCAGGTGTCTGGGGCCCGTGAGCACCACAGTAGAAAGCTGAGACGCTCCATAAACATTGGCAAGGGCAATGCCTGTTCCGTACTCAGGAGCAGAGAGTCAAGGTCCTGCTCCCCAGGGGGTCTGGGGACCCTTTTATGATGTGAAGCCTCAGGCCCAGGACTGAGGAGAGAGCTGAGGAGCTCCAGGGGCCCCTTATCAAAGATAAACCGTGTTCATCTGAGATGACTCTTACCTGTAACCAGTTGTTGTGACCTAAATGGGCTTGATACTCTTCTTCAGGTCACTCAGGGAGAGACTGCTCCCTGTACAATGCTTGTCCCTGGGGGGTTGCTTGTGTGCAGAAGAGAATATCAATTGGAAAATTTGCCAGCATTAGAGATTGATCACTGGGCCCACACTCTATGAGAATGTATCTCTGAAACCCGAGGATGCACGGGATGCTGTTGTCATGTGTATCCCTTGACTGGGCAGCACACACCTGGTCTAAATGTGGGATGGAGCATGGGCTCATCGTCTGTTGTCATGGGAACTCTAATCAGAGAAGTGACCTCCTTTGCAATTTATGACAGAAAATAGGGCAGAAGAAAGGAGGCTGCAGAGAAACCCTACGGTGGATACATGGTGATAATGTGATGAAGAGACAGAGGTGGATGAAGATGAGTCAATGCTCTGACCATTATAAACCTCATTTTTTAGCATGAAGAACAGGTGCCCTCAGCAACCTGGGCACGTCATGTCTTAACTCATCTGATCTCCTTCAGATGCCAGGAGACTGACTTTTGATTCATTGGAGGGATAAAGGTGTAAGCACACATGAAGTAGAGAGGATAAGTCCAGTAAAACAAACAAGGGGGGTAATCAATGATTAAAAAGCATGTTTATCTTGTGATCTCTAAGTTACAGTCTTCTTTTGATATAGTCATGTCAAGTAAAAGTGCCTTATCAAATTCGGAGATATCAGTGTGTTGGGATTGGGAATTCCCTAGCCCTGGGAGGTGCGGAGAGACCAGACAGACACAATTGCTGCAGGAGTAAAAACGGGGTTTCTTGCTGGAGCTCCGCAGCATACCTCAGAGTGGGCAGTGGCTGAGAACCCCGAGCTTCTTCAAAGGGGGTCTTATATAGGCTTTCATCAATTGTTATAACAAAACCCGTGCATTCCAAAGATCATAGATTCAAAAGTCAGCAGTTACATACATTGATTTTCAGCAGCACAAGCAAGGTTATGGCCAGAATCATTAAGTCTTTAGTGAGACAATACATTCCAGGAACGGGCAATTTCCCCCAACCACCCGCATCCTGAGTTATCCTTTACCCCAGTCTGCGGGGTGCTTTACTGAGACAATACATTTCAGGAACAGTAAATACACCTGAATCCTGTCACAAAAGCAGCCAAGCAGTTTTACAGAAAACAATGTGCAAGTTAGCTGAAGCACGCAAAAATTTGATGCCCTAGCATGGATTCTTTCAAGTGGAAGGCTCAGAGTCAGGAACGTAGAAAATGTTCCCTGGAGGGACCTTTGATGAGAATCAGGAAACCAGTCACCCATCAGCTCCTGCTCCTCTGAGATGTATCCTCTAGGTAGGGGTCGTAACGCCCCCTTCTGGCTGTGGTCTCCGGCAGTCCACACTCTCCCAGCAGGGAGGTTTTTGTCTGGGCTTACCCTGACTTCCCATCACTGTGCTTACTTCTTGCACAGTAATACACGGCTGTGTCCTCGGGGGTCACAGAGCTCAACTGCAGAGAGAACTGGTTCTTGGAGGTGTCAGCCGTGATGGAGATGCGGCCCTGGAATGCTGGGTTGTAGCTGGTACCACCGCTCCAGTACCCCATCCATTCAAACCCTTTCCCAGGGCTCTGGCGGATCCAATTCCAGTAGTAACTGCTGCTGACAGAGCCCCCAGAGACAGAGCAGGTGAGGGAGATGGTCTGGGAGGGCTTCACCAGTCCTGGGCCCGACTCCTGTAGGGTCAGAGCAGACACAGCACCTGGGGACAAGGGGAATCAGTCACTGTCAGTCCCTGCAGTCACTCCATCCCCTAGACCCTGACACATCTGGGACACTCACCCAGGGGGCCTGTCCCCAGGCAGAGGAGAAGACCCCACAGAATCATCTTCTTTTCGGTCAAAGCTATGCCTTCCCCAGAGACTCAGCCCTGAGTGAGGAGACAGCTGTGAGCTCCAGAACCCAGAGAGCATTTGACCCCGGAGCCTGAAAGGGATTTGCATGAGGTGACCCAGTCTCTTATAAGGGGAAACTATCTTACCTTGGATCTCCTTGTCCCATTGGGGTGCTGATCTCACACACCCTATCTGGTGATGAGTACTTGCTGATGAAGCACATTGAAACAGGTCATAGGAGACTCCTCACTTATTTTAATAATCTGTCTTAGTCAAGTTAAAATGATCACAATTATTTCAATTTCAAGTTGCCAGTGAAAATACTTTGCATTGTTTATGTTTTAAAAACTTTTTAATATAACCACCATTTAGAATGTTTATAATTATAATCATACTTAAATTTGTTTCATATCTGTCTCTCTCTAAAATAATATCCAAATTAAAACTGCCCTTCTCAATACTCATTTCTTTCAGTAAATAAATTATGACATAGTTGTATCTGATAATTGTTTGCAAAGTACGTAGTCAATAGCACATAGTACAATTGAAAATTTCTGTTTGAGTTTTATTTTTGCTTTTTTTTTTGTTTTGGGGCCATACTCAGTGATGCTTGGTGGTAACCCCTAGCATTGCACTCAAGAGTTACTTCTGGCAATGGCTGCTTCATTCTGGGCAACCAGGAGGGGGACCAGGTGAGGCTCCTTCAGCCCCAACTGAGGCAGCCCCAGCAGCCGAAAACCTCTAGAACTCAATCACTGCCATGCTCAAGGGTGCTCTCCACGTGCTTGAAAGGGACTCACTCAAGAGCCAATCTATTTCTGGACATGTTACACTTTCACTGTATCACTGTCATCCTGTTGTTCATTGATTGCCTCGAGCAGGCACCATTAACGTCTCCTTCGTCCTAGCCCTGAGATTTTAAAAAGTGACACATCTGAGGCACTTTTAGAGTCAGGGGAATGAGACCCATAATTGTTACTGGTTTTTGGCATATTGATCACGCCACGGGGAGTTTGCCAGACTCTGCCATGCAAGCAGGATACTCTTGGTAGCCTGCCATGTTCTTCAGAGTAAGAACTAGATAATAAGATGTCGGGTGGGGAGGGAAACTCAACCCACCCTCCACCAAGGGGCCCTTGTGAGGACAGCCAGGCATGGAGGCAGGAGACTCCGGCTGTTCTCTTCCAGAAGCAGGGTTTTATAGTCTCTGGGTCTTGGCTGTTGATGGGATTACATGGCACCAGGGGGCAGTTGGTTGATGTAACGCCTACATACTGGAAGATGGGGGATCTGGGTGGAGGAGACCCCAGTTCCAATCCGAGCAGGCTTGAAGATCTATATCAAGGGTCCCACACACCTGGGTTCCTCTGCCTGTTCCTTCATGCGTGAGGCTTGTCCGAACGTGTGGAGAGTGGTCATAAGCATGGTGTGGCTGGAACTGGAGGACTTCAGCTGCTGGGGCTCTGCTCGGGATGGGGAGGGAAACTCAACCCACCCTCCTCCAAGGGGTCTCGGTGAGGACAGCCAGGCGCGGGGGCAGGAGACTCTTTAAGCTACCAATATACCAAGAATAGCACACCTCATTTGATGGGGTTTAAAGTAGAAGGCTATATTGAAGGAACAATATAGCCTGCCCACAGGGCAGAGTCTGGCAAACTCCCCGTGGCACACCAAATATGCCAAATACCAGTAACAATGATGGGTCTCATTCTCCTAAAAGAGCCTTGAATATAATCTCAGGGCTAGGATGAAAGAGACGTTACTGGGGCCTGCTCGAGGCAATCGACGAATAACAGGATGAATGAATGAAAAGTAGAAGGCAACCAATCTTAGTGCTAAATATATTTATAAATACATACAAATATATATCACTTGATCACTTGATACCCCATTACTCATCGATTTGCTCAAGCAGGCTCCAGTAATGTCTCCATTCATCCCTGTTGCGTGCTAGCATAGCCCAATGGCATTTACTCGTTCTAGGAACATGAAGAACCTCAAACCAATCATTCAGGGTCTTGACGAAGAAGTCTGACCATCTCGTAGGTGGGCGTCCACGCGATCTTTTGACATAATGTGGAATCCAGTCAGTAATGGCTCTAGTCCAGCGGTCATCTCTACACCTCATTATGTGTCCAGCCCATCTGATTTTTGATGCCTTGGCAAATCAGACAGGGTCCCTGATTCTTGAGCGTTGACAGAGATCAGAATTCTGCATTCTATCTTTCATATGAGTGAAGTGTGTTACTCCAAGCATAACTCTTTCGATTCCTCTTTGAGAGACCCGAATAGCATTCTCATCCTGATTTTGTAGGGCCTATATATATGTATGTATAAAGGTAAAGGCCCTCCCGTTGATCGTCGATTTGCTCGAGCGGGCCCAGTAACGTCTCCATTGGAGACTTTGTTGTTACTGTGTCAGGCATATCGAATACTCTCGGTAGCTTGCCGGGCTCTCCAAGAGGGGCGGAGGAATCGAACTCGGGTCGGCCATGTTGGCCGCTTGTAAGGCGAACGCCCTGCCCACTGTGAGATATATATATATATATATATATATATATGCAGATAAGTGTCAACCTTTACAGCATGTTACTAATATCTTTTAGAAGGCTTAATGACCTTTGGGTGAAATACAAAAATCTTCACACATTTTCCTCTGAGGAAATTTTTGTCTCATTTTTAGTAGGTTTTTCATAACAATCAATACAAAATAAATTATTTTAGTTTTGCTTTGGGGGCAAGGTCTGGGGCTCAGAATGGAAATCTGATAGTGGGAAGATGTAATGGTGGTGGGATTGGTGTTCACATATTAAATGCAATTAAATATTGTGAACAACTTTATAAAAATAAAATTAATTTTTTAAAAAATATTACTCCGTGCAGTGCTCAGGGGGACCATATGTGATGCTGGGGATGACCCCCCATTGGTGAGTAAAGAAAAGCAAACTATCAATTGTACTATCACTCTGGCTAGCTGATTTTTGCATTTTCGAGTTGGGTTCTATTCTACCATGCATTCTTATGGGGCAGACATTTGTTATAGGCTACATTTAAACTATTCTATATGTTCCTTTTAATTTTTTATGGAATCTGTAGTTTCTCTAACTTTCAAAAATAAACCTACAACTGCCACGTCTCAGTGTTTCCACTGAAGTCACTTTGCTTCTGTCCATATCTGTGCATCTTTTATTTCTATCAGAGCTTGGGTGTCACTGCTCAGGGGTCCTGCTGTTCCCACCCTTGTCACACTCCACCAGTGCCACAGTCGGTTCTGTTGCTCCATCAGGTGCCTTTGCCAGTGGGTAACATTCAATGACATTTAAGGGGAACAAGTGTCCTGGGAGGAGTGGATTTCTGGAGATGACTGAAGGGCGTCTGACAGACCCTTTCCCCAAATCCCCTTGTCACTGCAGACTCCAGCACGAGCTCAGTCTGAACTGACCTGTTCATACTGGGTCACTGATGGAAACTATGTTATCTCTCCCTCTCTCCCTCTCTCCCTCTCTCTCTCTCTCTCTCTCTCTCTCTCTCTCTCTCTCTCTCTCTCTCCCTCTCTCCCCTTTCTTACTTCACACACTGTGACTTAGAAATTTGTTCACAATACAGTTGTTTCAGGTATTCAGCATGCCAACAACTGTCCCACCACCCATGTGTTCTTCCTTCCACCAACAACCCCAGTTACCCACCGCCCAAGCCGGCTCCCTGATCAGACACTAATTAATTGATTTTAGACTGTTTGTTACAACATCTGTCTCCTAATGGTGTTGCTACAATCTCGGTCTGAGGATTTCCTGAGCTGTCAGGTGTGCTTGAGCCTTCTGCGGTAGTGTTTCACTCGTTCCTATCTAATTTCCACGTTTCTCCTGGGCTGGCAGCCCTGTGAGTTTGGGGCTGTTGCATAGTTTCATAGGTGGCGACAGGCCTCAGGATTTGAGCTGAGACCCTCAAGTGCAAGTGATTCTCTGACCTCTCTGAGATGAATCATGAAGACAAGCCATTTTCTGACTGTGGCCAGAGTCAGATACGGGTGGGGGAAGCAATGGGCCTTGGGCAAGGCAGGGACTCGGTCTGTCCCCCTCCAACCCAGGGTCAAGAGATCTTGAATCCGGGGAAGTTGGGCCTTCCAGAGCTCCTCCCCCAAGGGACAGTCCAGCCAGGCCATTCCCTTCAGGTGACAGACACTGAGGAGCACAGAAACCATGAGGCCTGACCGAGGGTTTATATCAGAGTTTGGATACCTCCATGCCCCGTGTTTGAGAGTTAGATTTCCTCATAATAAATTAATTGATTTTAATCAATAAATTAATCTCATCACCAAGCTCTGTAAGTTTGTAGTATCAAGCAATACTGGAAACTGCCTTTGAATTATTGTCATTTCCTTGTTTTACTTGATTTATTCTTCCAATAATATCAGGTATAATAATATTTTATACCAGGCTGTCTTCACTGAGGGCACCTCAGAGGGGAGCAGGCGAGAGCCCTCCCAACCCCAACGGACCCAATCCTGGCAGCCGACCGACGTCCACTACCCAACCGCCACCACACTCCAGGCTGCTTTCCGAACTGTGGCCACGCGACACATTTTAAGATACTTCCTACCCAGTTCTCCGTGGTGTATTCGATATGCCAAAACCGGTAACTATAACAGGTCTCATTCCCCTGACCTGAAAGAGTCTCCAATCATTGAGAAAGATGGGTAAGCAGAGGCTGCTAAAATCTCAGGGCTGGGACGGATAGAGACGTTACTGGTGCCCGCTCGAGTAAATTTGACAATGAGATGACAGTGATACAGAAATAATAGCATTTTGATTTCTAGACTTGACACCCTGTGAAAGTTGCTCTGCCTGTCATAGATTTGTGTTGTCACACATGTTCTCGAAGCTTGCCCTCAGTTAGGGCCTTCACTTTCTTGATCTTCCCTGGCCACTGATGGAGCACATTTGTTTCAAAATTCCATCAGGGTCGTCTAAGTGTCAGTGCGCTGTGTGTGGGCAATATTACCCTTGGGGAGGGAAACAAGGGTGTCATTGTGTGGGCTC